ATAATTATCACGTATTAATCAAGGAACTTCATGAATTGACAAGCATGTTGCATTATTGATATATGGTCATTCAATGCTTCTAACAAGGTTTAGATGAAAGTTTATACTTTAGATGAAATTACATTTTTGGAACTTACTATATATATTTACCCATTTTAGTATGCATTAGTTGAATACCATCCAGCCACTTCCTCTTATAATAGATAGCTACTTAACTACCGGTCATAAGAATGTAGCATATAGGGCCAACCTATTGACCCGTTTGTGACTAATGCTATCTCCCTTCCTTGAAAGTAAAGAGGGTTTTGGGTCCACACCATGATATATGTGAGGGGGAAAATATGAGATGGTCATCTATCATCTATTCATCTGTAACTAACTAATAAAGAAGGAATAAAAAAACAAAAAAATATAGAAAAATACTACATTAAAAATTTAAAATGATGTTTTTTCTGATAAAAAAAGAATTTCATTAAAATGAAAAAACCAAGAATCATTCCATAAAAAAAATGTTCTTGTCCTGGCATTAACAAAGAACTACAGTATGGTATGGGAAACTGGTTAACACCCCGAAAAGACAGAGAAAGAAGATCAAACAAAAAGATAGTAGTGTACGGTATATAATTTGGGCGAGACTCCAGCTTTCTTCCATCTCAATTGAGTTTTGATAGCCCTAATTGACCAAGTAGAGAAACCAGACAAAATAAAAAAAGCATGTCTCCACCTTACCAACCAACCAACAAGAAAATCTTTATGAATTAAAAGAGGCAGAAGGAACCACTCCAGGTCCAGGAGAATTTTGTCCTAGTCTCAACGTGTTATGATAGATAGCCCTACAGCTGCGTGCAGTGGCAAGCGGCGTCGTTTCGAGCATTTTCCGCGGTTTCTAATTTAAGGATTTGTTTGGATAAGCTCCGCTTCAATTTTTAGATATTATTTATGATTCATAAATTAAAATTTTTCTCTTAAAAATTTATACTTTTAAACATTTTTGTACCCTTTAAAAAATTTTAAACAATAAAAACTCAAAAATTTCAAAACTAAACTTTTCATAAACTCTTTTTTTATTTATTTTTCACTCATTTTTTTTCATCTTTAAAAATAATTTTTAAATTTTTTCTTTAATAAAAATTTTAATTTATTACTTATAATAATACTTAAAATACAAAAATTCTCACAAGTTACACGAAACAAACACCTTAAGTATACTTTGGGCGCCCGTAACGCGTTTTAGAGACGAGGCATGATAAATTATGAAAAATAATTTAGGATAATTATTATTTTTTTAATATAATTTTAT